AAAAAAAATTTTTTCCCCCATTTTTTTTTTTTTTAAAGTAGCCTAATAAGGTAAAAAAAAAAAAAAATGATTTTCTATAATGTTTTTAATAAAATCACACACCCAAAACGAAAATGAAATAATAATAATAATAATAATAATTTTCAATCCTGCCAATCACGTAAATTTTTTTTTTTTTTTTTTTAAAGAAAATAAAATCCTGCAATGGAAAGAAAAACGCTAAAGCTTAGTTAGGTTATTCAATTTGTGCAATCAAACAAATATTACAATTAATTAATTACGTCAAATAAATAAAAATAATAATAAATGTCGAAAACGAACAAAAATGAAACAATAACAATAACAATAAAAAAAAAAAAAAAAAGCTCGAAGAAGATTTTTGATGAGAAACAAAAAAAAAAGAGAGCAACTTATACTCAACGCCAAAAAATAATAATAATAATAATAATAAAACATTAGAAATGAGGCCACTTTCAATAATGTTTTAAAATTCAATAAGCCTAAATAAAAGTTGTCAAAACAAAAAAAAAACATTAACAAGTATTAGATAATGATGATTGTGATAATAATAATAATAACAATCAAAATTATTATTATTATTATTATTACAATTAAAATCAAATAGTTTGGGGGCCGGCGGGCGGGGGCGGGGTGGAGCGGTGGGAGTGGGACACTAGCCCACCCCCTCCCTCCCCTTATTACCCTTTAACTTATAGTTAGTTAATTTTTAATCTAACATATCTAAGCCTTATTATTTGCTTCTTACTATATTACTTACACTATATATATATATATTCTTACAAATTGTAACTACAAAGAAAGTTAGGCACTGGGAAATACTAAATTTTAAAGACATTAGTAAAAGACAATGCAACGAGTAAAAGAAAATTTTTCTTTCTTTCATTCTTTTTTTTTAAAAAAAAAAAACCCACTAGCACTTGATAAATTTTTTTTTATGTACATGTAAGCAATCGTACATATAACAACTTTTCCCTTTCAATTTTTCCTTTTATGTGTGTTTAGTATAAATATATAAAGAATTATTGTATTATTTGTAATTACAATTTAATATCAGACAAAAAAAATATATCATTTTTTTTTCTTTTTTTTTCCGTCGTCAAATTGCATAGGAGATTTAGAATTTTTTTTTTTTTTTTTTTATATCATGTCTACTCATCATCAATTTACATTCGAGAAAAAAAAAAAAAAAGTAAACTATTTTAAATTCTACGAGTTAGAATAATTTTTTTTTGTTGTATTAATTTACGACATTTTATGTAACTAATTTCCAATTAAAAATATATATATATATCGATAATACCTAATCTCATTAAAAAAAGAAAAATGTTTCCCCCCCTCTCTCTCTCCCCCCCTCTTTTAATTTAATTAAATCAGCATCATAGAAATTTATCGATTTATTATTTAGAATAAAAAAAAAAAAAAAAAAAAATATGGCACCGACAAATAAAATATTACGGTAAAAAAAAATTTTAAATTTTATAATTATTATTTATGTTTAATTTAAATTTTTAT